AGAGATAGCAATACGCAGCTGGTTGCTCAAGAGTTCGAAGAGAAGAGTGAAGAGTGCTCTGCTAAATCTCGTCTCTGAAGTGAGGGAAGAGAAGAGTTTTTTTTTATATTTGATTGTAAAACGTATTCCTGTAATACGTTTTCTTCTTTTATTTAATTATACAACGTATTTTTTGAATACGTTCACTTTATTATTATTTTTTTTTGTAAATTAAACTTTATAACGTATTTCGGAAATACGTTTTATAATTACTATTTATGAATTGAATTCCTTCCACTTTATAGCGGAATTTTTTTTTTTTTATTTTACAAAAACATTTATAGAACGTATTACCGGAATACGTTTTCTCTAATAATATTTAATTAGGAAAACGTATTCCGGAAATACGTGGTTTTGATTTTTTTTCACTCCTTTTTTTTTGTTTTTGTTTTTGTCCACTTGTTTTTTTTGTTTTTTAAATAAATAAATCACCCAGTAGAGTAGGCCTTATAATTTTTTAAAATAATATAAAGATGAACAAATGCAAACGTAACCACTATTTGTGTGAACAAACAACATTAGTGTTAATAGTTTTGTGTGAATTGTAGTAAAAAAATAATGTAAAAACTCTTCAATCGAAGAAAAATGTAACTTTTGCAGCTTGTACTTATCATACATGATTGTATTTAGGAATTAGGGTGGGACTGGATAAGAATTCTTTAAAAAAAAAACAATTATTTTTAACTCATTTACGTTTTTAACTCAATTTTAATTGAATTTCATTATTCTTCATATAATCATATTATCAATATCAATATAATTAAATAATATCAATCAATCAATTTTACAAATCATATAAACTTTAATTTATTATTCATTCACTCAAAAAAATCTTAAGTAACCATCATTCCACATTATTTCTAATATACTTCTACATCAATCAGTTTATTTTAAACTCAAAATCCTGGTAACAACTAACCCTACCGCTCTTTTTAAAATTAACTATAACTAAAAAAAAAAAAATCAATCAAAAGCAAATCAAGTCCATAACAATCAAACCCTTAATTTCCCATTCTAGACTCATAGATGAGTTATGAAACAAATTACCAGTACTGGAAACTGTTACCCTTAACGATTTGGGTCTACCATAGGCCTGTAAACTAGTCGAGTTGAGCTCGAGCTTAGGGTGCTCGAGCTCAAGCTCCACCCCTTAGCGAGCCGAGCTCGGCTCGACAAATAAATAAGTTTCAAATCGAGCTCGAGCTCGACTCATTTATCACTAATAACAAGCCGAGTTCGAGCCTTAACGATTCGATCACGAATTTTATCTAGCCGCACTATAAAAAATTATAAAAAATTCTCTTTTCGAGCCTTATAGAGCCAAGTCGAGTTTGGCTCGTTAATCAAATAAACTTTAAATGAGCTCGAGTTCGACTCGTTTAATTTAACAACACTAATATAACATTGCAAGTAGTCATCCTAAACCAAACCATAAAAGGGATAATGGCCAAATTATGTATTAAGAATTAGATAACAATGCATTAATTCACTAAATCCTTGACCACAGCTTGAATTTATTTAATTTATTTTATAAACTATGGTCCAAAAATTCGGAATGATGGTGAGCCAAACACCAAGGCCAAAACAGGAAACTGCAACATCACATATGCAGACAACTGGATAATAATTCAATAAAAATAAAATAAAAAAGACAACTAGACAGTGAAAGGCTTGACCCTTGGGATCTGCATTAATAAAACCACATGGACGTTTTTTTTTTTTTTTTTTTTTATCTTCGATTAAATTAAATAATAAATATGTTTTTTTTTTTTTTCATTTAATAAAAAACCAATTATCCACCTTTATTATTGATTTATTTATCCCTTTTTCTTTCATCATCAAAAATTATTGCCATCTTTTTCTCCCCCAAAATGAGCAGTTTCTACGAGGCTGCATATCGCCCCACCGTTGAAAGTTGCTCCGCTGTCCGGCATCACTGCGTTGAACCTCGCCGTGAGTACATTTCTTGATTTTTCTGTTTTCTTTGCCAATTTTATTTTGTCCCTTCTCATTTTTTTTCCCCTCTTTTCTCGTGATTATAATAATGGCGGTTGCATATTTGGTTGGGTTTCTTTGCCCTCTTGCGAGATAAAGGTGACATTTTTATTAATAAATACTAAAATAATGGATGAGCGCCCTTGAATTTTCACCCATTTGACGACGGGTAAAGCCCGATGCGTTTCTAGAAAGTGTTGCGCAGTTTCAGTTAACGCCTGCCATTTTTTCTTTCCGCCCCTGGTTTTGCGTGGAGGGAGTGGAATCCGCCCGGTCTCCGGTGGTTCTTGAACAAATCCAGTGCTTGCAGTTGGTAAACCCTCCGTTTCTTGAGTTAATTGACGGGTTTCTTTTCTTTTCCCTCTCCGTATAATATTGTGAATTCTTCTTTTTTATCTCCGGGATAAAGTGAAAACCGGCGATGGAGGTGTCACCGGCGACGACGACGGACGACGTCGTTCAGGAGATAATGAGGCTCCACCGGTCTTTGCCCGACCGGCCGGGGATCGAGGAAGTCGAAGCCGCGAGGACCCTGATCCGGAATGTGGAAAGGGAAGATCAGGCGAGGCTTGAGAGTGTCGAGAGGCGAATCAGGGGCAGAGACGTGCCTGAAGAATTGTTCCGGATTCTGCAGGAGATGCAGAGGAGCATGATCCATTTCCAGAGCAAGGAGCAGACGAGGGAGGCGCTGAAGCTGTTGGATCTCGAGGGCGTCCACATGGCGTTCGACGAATTGATCCAGAGAGCATCCAGATGCCTTCCGGGATCTTCTGTTCCCGAAGAGCCTGCGTCAAACAAGGCCTCCTACGACTCGTCCATCAGCCTGAGCTCGACCATGAATACCTCGACGGCCGCCACGTCAGCATCCTCGTCTTCTTCTTCCAGTTTCTTGAACGACAAGGAGTACGCAAGGTCCTTGGGACCTGGTTTTTCCAAGGATGACTCATATGTGAAGAAAGCAAAGATGGCCTTTCGCGTGGACGGCTTGGAGGTCGGAGCCCGATCAGGAGATGCCTTTGCTATGCCGCGAATTATAGATCCCACTCTTGCTAAACCAATTACTACTTCCGGTGAGTTAAACAACGTAATTTTGTAAGTTGGCGTTTTTAAATTATGAATTATGATATGTGTGTTGACATGGCTGGTTTTTGTTGCTAAGAATTTGGTGAAAATGTTTTTCGGCAGGGCAAGATGGTGAGAAACTGAGCCTGATAAGACTGGCCAGCCTTATTGAGGTGTCGGCAAAGAAAGGTACTCAAGCACTCACTCTCCAGGGCAAACTATCCGACCAGGTCGAGTGGCTTCCTGACTCAATCGGGAAGCTCACGAATCTGATCACGCTGGATTTATCAGAAAACAGGATCTCCGCCTTACCGGACACCATAGGGGCACTTTTGTCATTACAGACTCTGGATTTGCATGGGAACATGATCGGCGATTTGCCAGAAACTATAGGGAATCTGCTCAGCCTGATCCGTCTAGATCTCAGAGGAAACCAGTTAAAATCACTGCCTCCTACTATTTCTAGGTTGATTAATCTTCAAGAGCTGGACCTGAGCTCAAACGGGCTGTCGTCCCTCCCTGAGGCCATTGGGTCCCTCGTGAGTCTCGAGAAACTAATCATTGAGACAAACAATATTGAAGAAATCCCTCACACGATCAGCCAGTGTGCCTCTCTCAAGGAGCTTCGAGCAGACTATAACCGACTCAAGGCCCTTCCCGAGGCGGTGGGCCGGATCGCGTCTCTAGAGATTCTCACTGTGAGATATAATAACATTAAACAGCTGCCAACCACTATGTCGTCTCTGACAAACTTGCAGGAGCTGGATGTCAGCTTCAATGAGCTGGAATCGGTCCCTGAGAGCTTGTGCTTTGCCACGTCACTTGTGAAGATGAACATAAGCAACAACTTTGCTGACCTGCAGTCCCTGCCGAGGTCCATCGGGAACCTTGAAAATCTTGAGGTGTTGGACATGAGCAATAATCAGATAAGGTTTTTGCCAGACTCTTTTAGAATGCTGACTGGGCTTCGTGTATTGAATGTGGAGGGAAATCCTCTTGCAGTTCCCCCAAGGAACGTGATTGAGAGAGGGCCTCAGGTTCAACATGTTTTATCTTTAAATGTTTTATATATCATATGATTCATATTCTTTCTGATGTAATGGTGAAGGCTGACATCATATTTTTCTTTCTTTCTTTCTTCTTTTGTTTCTTTTTGCATATTCAGGCCATTGTTCAATACATGGCTGAAATTGTTGGTCAGAAACAGGTCAAGTCACAGCCGGTCAAGCAAAAAAAGTCATGGGGGATTTGCTTCTTTTCAAAATCCAACAAACGCAAACGAGAAGGTCCCGACTATGGTAAAGCTTAGTAGAAAGAAGCCCAGAATACGGAACATCAGATTTCTTAGGTATAGCTGTTTCTCCATTTAATATCATTTTTTTTTTTCGTTTTTATACACAGTGGGTCTTGCAGTTTAGCATGTCAGCATGTGTACGCTATCTCTACTTCTGAATTAGACTGGTCGTGTTTAGATACTAGGGTTGGTTTTAATTTTGTTCTGTTGGTGAACTTATTATTGTTGTTTGGTGATGGACCCTCGTTCTGATTAATTTTTTCATTTTATTGTTTTTATATCACAGGAAATTAGAGTTAAATGGTTGAGGGAGAAGTTTCTGATATTCGCCAAAAATTCACGAATCATGACAATATGGCTATGATCCTTGCTCAGTATATCCTTAGTTCGTCATTTCTCATTTCAAGTGTATTCCCTTGTATTTGTTTTCGTCCACATTTTTCAGTTCGGATAACTAGAGAGCTGTACATTCATGTACGACCGGCTTTGACAAAGGGAGGTGTAACTATTCCCACTATTTTCTATTTTGTAAATTGCTTTGAGCTTCATTCACAATGTTATAAAGGGAGACGCTATCTTTCATTTCATTCATTTAATTCGGCCACATTTGAAAATTGGTTGTGTTTCATCTTGCAACTCAACTTGCACATTTGGTTTTCTTGCTTCAAAGATCACTGCACCTCAATTTAATGCTGTTTTCTGACTTTGTTCTGATCTTGGGGTTTCATGAGATTATGCTGAGGTTATAGTTGGAAACTTATATTTAAACGTGTACTCACATCCACGTGGTATGTGGAATCTGTAGTGTCATTTTCTTTTTCTACAATTTAGTTTATGTTCGTTCTATGTTTCCTATTATGGTATTTTTCATTTGCAGGGACTGATTCGTGAGGGTCTATTGGATACATTTTCAAATTAATTGGTAGATCGTTGAACTAAAAATTTACTTTGTAACTCCGATCATTTGGTAGAGAATTGAGATTCACACATTGGAAAAATATCACATTCATAGTTCTCACAATCCTTCTGAGAGTTTTTTTCTCTTTCAAGAATTTTGTTCCTTGAGTGGGAGAGTGCTTTTGTAGTTCAACTAGTGTTCGTGCTTTCGTCTTAGTGTTTCTCTTTTTTATTCTATTTGTGTCCTTCTAATCCTCTTTATCTTCTTGTCGTGTTTGGCTTTGGCTGTGTTTGGTTTGTGGTCTTTCGTTTTGGGGTTGTTTTTTTTTTTTT